GTAGGATAATTAATATGAATACCAAACGACTAATTTATTATTATTTTTTTAATTTAATTTTTTTTTCCTCCCTTTGAATTTATATCAAAATTATTCAGAGTAAGTCTTGTATGTGTTAGCCACACGGTGTGATCATATTAATTTAATTATAAGAATATTCTTTATGTATATATATGAGTAACCCTATTTATTCAAAAGAGTAACCTCATTTTGTCCATTAAAGTAACTCCAATTCATTATATGTAATATCAACTAATTTAGAAATAAGTAACCCGTTTGTTCATTCGAATAACTCCTAATTTTTTTTTATAAATTGAAAGAATAATTTCAGTTATGTAAGAGAGTAACCCATTTTCTTCATTTAAATAACCCACATACATCAAGATAATCCCATTTGTCTTTAATGTAACCTAATACGAAAATTTCCAAAAAAAAAAATAGTAATAAATAAATAAAATAAATACAACTGTCATGTCACGAATGATAAGACAACCTAGGGCAAAGGTAGACTTGGATCACGGAATAAGTACACTTCTCTGCCTCTCTCTCTCTCTATTCTCTATTTAAACACTATTCAATTTGAACTTCAATTTTCAGAGCTTTGTAATCTTTCTCGAAGTTTCAACACACAAAAATTAAAGCACGTATTTCTACCAAATAAATATTTGCAACTCTCTCTTTTTATCTCTTTTTAAAATTTCCTTATCAAAAGAATGGCAGAAAAACAAGAATTAGTATCGTTATTTGATTTTGATAAGACGATAATTGGGAGTACGATAGTGATTGATTGGTTATTGATAATTTGGGTTTTACCCAAATCTTCAACACCCTTCTTTCTACCATGCCTTACAACTCTCTTATGGTTAGTGTTCTCCCTTTTTTTTAATTCCATTAGCTTATTATTACTTGGATTATAATTTGTCATTGTTAATCTCTTCGTTAAGAATCAAGAGTTGCTCTAATGGTTAGGAGTTTTGTCATATATCTTAAAGATTGATAGCTAGATTTTAATATTTTGCAATGTTTATGTTAATACACAAATAGAAAGATCGAAAGAATCCTAAAACACACGTAGCTAGTCAGTATGCATGATTTAATATAGAGGTGTGGTGGACTGACCTAAATTTACCTAGCTTCAATTAATTATGTTTGCCCTTGTTTAGACTAAGTTTGATGAGCTGTTGTGAGTTATGTATAGACGTGTCCCAAAAAAATAAATTATATAATGCGCCGCACATATCTATGAAATCGTATATTCTTATAACATTTGTCATTACTTTCAATTTTATATAAGACCAAAAAATACATTAAAAAAAATCATCTAAACTTTCTTCTAGTCCCTGTTTCCCACCTTCTAAACTGCCTTACGGGCACAACACCATACCACCATAACCAAACGGGAGCACCGGCAAGTGGCAATTCACGATATTTCTGGAGGATGTTTTTATGTTAGACGTTTGAAAATTTTAAGATGATTACATTGGTATGTTGTTCATAAAAAATTCCAAGTGAAAGATATTTGTCCTAGTAAATTGAAAGTATAATAAATGTTACTCTCTTGTCTCTTTTATATTGTCCCATTCCACAAATCTGCTTTATTAAAAATTGGTAAGGGAAGAAAAAAAAGTGTGATCTCAATTTAATATTAGTGGGTTTAATTAAATGAATTGGAGAGAGAGGGAAGTACTTAAAATTAGTTTAACTCTTCACATGGGAGAGAGGTTGACAATAAAGCAAACTCATTTCCCACCAACTTTACAACGGTACAAGGTCACCCAATTTTCTAAAAATTTTAAAATTTCAACACTTTTTAAAATTTCACCCCAATCCTCCTGAAATTGTTTGCCTCCTTCAGCTGGTGCTCGGGTATAACTCATGCACACTGTTTCTGATGTGTTAGGCGCCTGAAGTGAGGCTAGAGGAGGTGTCGTACACATAACGACCAGGGGGTGTTGGGGATGAACTCCTCTTCATCATCATCGGAGTTAATTGGGGATGGGTTATGATAAAATTGAAGTTTATCCTTCAAAAAATCATAATCCTCACTAGTTAGCTCTGAATCAAACCCACCCTTACCACAGATTTGTGGGTCAATTTTTTTTTTGAAAATTATTGAAATTAAAATTCATGGTAATCAGATCTGGGAATAAACTATCAAGAACATACAAATACCCACACTACGAAGGAGAATTTCTCAAGGATAGATCTTAAGAAAGAGATTTCTACAGAAAAATAAAAAAAATAAAATTCTGAAATTGTAGAACCGAATTTAGGGTTCATCAACGGAGGAGAGAGAAAATACCAAATGAGTTAAAAAAATAGGGTTTTTATTTTTATAAGGGTGGTGAGAAAATAGAGGTAGTTGGAGGAGATGAGAGTGAAATTAATGGTGGAAGAAAATTACAGAAAAAGATAGATGGAGAGGACATTATTTGAATGAGAAGAGAGAAAACATTGACAAGAAGAGAGAGAAAAAGTGAAGTGATAGAGGAGAGAGAGTAATTAGTGGGTTAGAGGGAGCTCTTAGGATATATGATACCGTGACATGGCTGGGTTATAAAATTAAATAGAAAATAGAATGAGGAAATTAATAAGGGACATTCATTTATGGCAAATGGAGCAATAAAAAAGGACAAAGGGAGTACTTGTTAACATGATATGGATGACATTCCCTTCATAACCAATTAGTACAATAGTACCTGAATTATATGTTTATATATTAGAGTGATCAGATTATGAACCAATAAAAAAAAAGTAATTGAGTTTGCTTTGCAATTACTAGAGACGTGCTTCCTTGTTCAACTACAGGATAAAATGATGGAGGAACTTCATTTGCAAGGAACAACAATACAAGATATAACAGAATGCTTGATCAAGGTTCCATTGTCTCCAAACATCATATCTGCAATAAAATCGGCTTATGATTCAGGGTATTATACTCCTTCCTGTCTCAAGTAATAGTTTCACGTGTTTGAATTGGGGTTAATCTTAAAATCTTTTCGAGAAATGAAAATTGGTAAAAACGTATACAACGAGTTTTTTGTATAAAACAATCTTAACCAGGCCACCTCAAAACATGTTCCACTAAAACACATAGCCAATGGGCCCAATGTAGGCTCTTCCTTGGAAATTGTTACTTAAGGGTATCAATTATTATTACTCCGAAACATTTAACATTTACTAATTAATTTAGAAAGTGACCTATTATTTTAAGACAACCTTATTTTGAAATGGGCAATTCCTTAGAGATGGATAGATGTTCATCAACGTATAATTTCCGCTAAAACCCTTCCTACCATACCGAAGTTTTTATGCTTTTGATCTTACATTCAATTCTTAGTTTCTTACTCATTATGGAATCAGCTGCATGCCATGTTCATAAATTTATGTTATTCAGGTGTGATTTGAGGATTGTAAGCGACGCAAACACTTTTTTCATAGAGACTATTTTGAAGCATCATGGAGTGTTACATTGTTTCTCTGAAATCAACACGAATTCAGCTATTGTTGATGAGGATGGCAGACTCCGTATTTCGCCATTTCATGACTTTAACTCATCTTCTCATGGGTGCAACCTTTGTCCTCCCAATCTTTGCAAGGTACATATGATTCTAATAACTCTTCTATAATTACTTTGTTCTGGCTTCAAAATTTGCCTAATTACTAGTTATGTGACAATTAATTCTGCTCTTTTAAACTTGTTACATTATGTAGCAAAAGGCTTGCACCTTCTGATCTTGGGTTGCCAAGGAAATTAATTTCATGAATTTTGAATGCATGACTATAGTTTTTTCTGATGTATTTTTGCGAAAATGAAGCAGTTTCTGACTTTGATGAGCTTAATTATATTTCATTTGATCGTCTTCCTTCCAACATCTGAAGTATGTTGTTAATAATAACAGGGGACAATTTTTACAAGAATCCAAGCTTCTTCGTTAGAAAAGCGGTTCATCTATGTAGGAGATGGAAAAAATGATTATTGCCCAAGTTTAAAGCTAACAGCAAAAGATTATGTGATGCCAAGAAAGCATTTTCCTCTGTGGAATGCAATTTGTATCGATCCTGCACTTATAAAGGCGTCGATTCATGAATGGGAGGACGGCGAAGAACTTGGAAGGAACTTGATTAACTTAATTAGTTCTTTGATGATCATGAAAGCAGATGAAGTTCTTATAGCTGAGGAATATCTTTTTTGCTGACTGTAAGTCTGATCATGTTGCTGCACCTGAGTCCTTTCAGAAGTCAGTCCCGGTCCCTCATTAAGTATGAATTTATGATGTGAAACTCCTTATCTTTGTGGTTGAAGTTGATCAATTTCTGAGTAATAGCATGACAACCATGGCTTTGCAGGCAGTGTATGTAGTCATAGGTACACACTTGATAATGAATCAAAATAGTAATGGTGATGTTGCCAGTGACCACAGAAAATCTATTGATGTAGTGATGTATGCTTGATGTCCAACTAAGGTGGTAAATAGGTTTTTCGGATTGGATTATAGCTTGATTCAGATCACATTCGAATTTTGAGTCATTCGATTCAGTTTGAGTTCAGTTCTTATAATACGGAGTATTAGGTTGATCGATAAAATTCCTTTATTTTGGTACCATATCATTTAATTATGACAAATTTAGCCGACATCCAACCAAAACAGTCAAACTTCAGACCACAGGTACAAATCAAGTCCCTGTTAATTAGCTCATAGAGCTACCCAATACTCAGCTTTGTGAAATCACTGCTTTTGTCCAATTATTATTTAGGTCATGATCAGTTACAATTGAAATTTCTTGCAATTTGTACTTTTGGTTGAGTCAGTGTGTATTTCATCAGGTCTAATTATGGATGAAATTAGTTAAAATAATGACCATAATACAATCAGAGTCAAAGCACATTCTAAATCTTTTATGAATAACAATGAGTTGTGATGAATTAACCAAAACCCGACTCGATTCAAACTATTTCTATAGAAAAGGTAACAACTTTTTTTGACATTCCACGATACATTGTGTAAGAGTCGAATACATTGATGAGCACTTGATCAATAGATGTACAAATGTACTACATGTCTATATTACATTTCAACTAATTTTCCAAAAATATAATATGGCATTGCTGCAGATAAAGCACTGATAGCTGTGTACTGTTTTGAGCATGAAGAAAAGGTTTATATCAGGAAAAGAGGAAATATTTACTCTTTCCTCAAAGAATTGCATTTCTTATTTCTTTCCATAGCATAATGATTATTCCAAAGATTTACACACAACTCAACCCCCATGAAATCTATGATTACAAAATTAACAAATGTTCAATTTCTCAACCTTTCCAAACTAAATATAATTTATAAATACCTGTCCTGTTTCCTATAGTTTTTTATATTTTTTTCCTCTTATCTTATCTACAGCCCTTCTGTACCACCTCAAACTCAATTCTAACCAAAAAACTGCCTAACACCACTCCTTACTGCGTATATAACGATTACAATGACTTATCTTGCTATTAATCCTCGAGCTATACCTCAAGTGAGATGCGAGTCTTGATAGGCTTCAACTTTAGGCCCATGCTCTCGGGTGAAAGTAGCTCTGGGGAAATACAAGACGGACTTAATGGGCTTCTTGGGCTTACACTCATGTGTGATTGCCTGTAGAAGCCATAACCCATGAGGAAATATTCTAGAGGGATCAACATGGCATGTGGTTGCTCCTCGGTCACCAAAGACCCGCATGCCTGAACCTGTAATTTCAAACAGGAAGGATTAGTGAACAGATTGCAGCAAAAGATTATGTTTAACATCAACATCATAGGCAATAATTAGGGTACCTCCACTAAGGCACTAAATCTTCTATCTAGTTTTGTGGCCATGTGCACTGCTTCTGAGTGGAAAGATGAGTCCTCTCCAACAAATATTAGTGAACGACATCGTAGTTTCTTCAATCCTTCACTTATATCAGTCCTCCTGAGTAGAAAAGAGCAAGAGGAAAAATTCATATGAAAACTATTAAATGTGAGAGCACAGAAGATCAGGTGGTATATTTGAGGACTTAGCAAGACAAAGACACCCGGAGTACCATCTTTGTTCTGATAATAAAAAGGGCGGCAAGATCCTATATGACTTTAATTCTTACCAATTACCTCACCAGAAACATGTAATGATTTTTTTCAAGGACGTGGAAGGTAATGGTTCATAATAATTAGAGGAAACATTTTAGTATTAAAGTTACTTTGAAGCATTAATGAAAAAATGAGTAGTACACTACATGGACTACTCCCTCCATCCCTAATGCATGATAAGTCCTAGTTTAACCTGTCCCAAGATGATAGGACACTTATTTAAAGTTATACTTTCAACTTGCTCATGACTGTCATGGTTGAGATGCAAAGACTTGTAGGAAATGGTAGTTTACTGTATTTCAATTCAACTCTTCAAAAATGACCTCCAATCAAAGTAGCCTGTTATTATAAAAGGGCAGAGACTCTAGTGATAACTTACTATGAAGTATTTATCTGTAAGCAAAGCTACATTGTTTAAGTATAAAAAATTAGCTTCTGTAGTTTCCAACGCTATAGCGAAGGGTTAAAGAGTAAATAGCAATATAATAAGGAGAGGAGATCAGCCGATAACCTTGATTTTTAGAAACATGTCAAAATCAAGAAGATAAAGGAGAAAGACAATACCTGTTAATTGCCTCCAAAAAATGCATGACATTAATACTTTCTCTATCATCCAGCCACTGATAGAACCAAAGGTAAACAATATATCAGTACTTCCACACCAATGCAAATAAACAGAACTCCCCATTCACATAGTAACACCGACAGAAAAATACATATCAAAATAGGGAAAATTTCTCAAAAATGATAAATGAGGATATTATGGCTAAAGAACTCACTTTTCGACAAGCCTGAACTATATCTGATTCTGGTACAAGGGAATTACCCCGAAGTTCCTGCAACAGGATTCATAGTACACCATTAAAGCATACCATACTAGAGTTTTAATTAGATGTATACATAATGTAATTAGACACTAATCACAAGCACAATCATGAAATATACCTTGCTAAAGTATCGTTTGAGCAGCATCTCTTTAACAACACTGCACATGCCATAGAAGTAAAGTAGATTTGACATCACCTACAAAAAATACAGAGCTTTATCAGGCAAAGATTCTTTCCTTTGAACTATTGGTAGACAAGTTCAGAAAAAGGGACCTTATTGTACAACCATTCGGTCCAAGATGGTGCTCTGCATAGAGGAGAGATAAGTATCAAACCAAGAACACGCTGCTTATATTTCGTCTGCATGTAAAAAGGCAAAAGGAATGACAATAAGTACAAATACAACTTATTTTGAAACTTTTTTTGGCACGATTGCATCAAAATACAGCGACACAACTTACAGCAAATAATGTTAAAACGTATGCTCCAGCAGTCACTCCCATACACATAACTTCACCTAGCCTGCAACATGTAATAGTCCCCAACGTAAGTTTCGTCAATTGTGCTCGTCACTACTGGTCTTAAAATGATCAAGACAGCAACCAAAGGTCTACGGCCCAACGTTGTATTTTATTACATGCAACATGAAATAAACCAGTGGCAGGGCTCGAGAAAGTAAGTGAAACAACTGACAATTCTGCTTAACATAAAACTCTCAAACTTGCAAAAGTTTTCGTAATGGAAATTACCCGAAATAGTCAAGAACCTCAACTATCTGATCAGCCAAATCATCAACTGAAGGCTCAGAGGATTCATATTCATAGCTTATTGCAGCAGCTCCCCACTGAAACAGCTCTTAACAAAAGTTCCATGTTAGAAACAATACAAGCAAGATCCTTTAACTTTGTCCCAAAAAAACAAAGCCAACTAGGATCATTAATAATACAGGTAATAACAACTCCTACTATTATTCAATGGTGAATATATAAATGCTGCTTCTGCCCGACTTTATCAGTCACACTATTAGTGTAATTTGAGCTGGTAATGTGACATCTAGAGTCGAATAGACGTCGTATATTTATAAGAAAAAAACTAACTCGTCCAAGTTACAAACCTCATGGCCAGGAGGACTGATATGGTAGATGCAAAAGTTGTGAACAAGCAAAGATAATGCCTCAGGACACATGAATAATCCTTGAAAACACGATGCATCTGCTCAAAACAATCCGCGAAAAAACAAAATCAAAATCATATTCTAATACAAATGCAATAGTCATTACACTTACATGCTATTCATAATTAAGGATTAAACCCCGTCTTAAATGCCACGCAACCATCTTAATCCCTTTTTTTCCATAATCATGCTTAGTAAAAAAATTGGCACTCTTAAAAATATATACACCAATACCTACCACAAGCCTATAAACATGCATAAACAATAGCTAACAAGTGACACTATAAACAAACTTAAAATTAATCAATTTCTCAATCAATCATCAATATATATAATACAAACTCACAATTTAGAGCTAAATCTGGGTAAGTAACAAGAGCTGGCTTATCTTGATCACCATAAACAGCTACCGACACCGGACCCGAACCTGTTTTTAACATAATATTCCTGTACAAATTACAACATAAAACACTTACATAATGCACTTAACAACAAGAACAAAATATCTTAATTATATGATTATCAACCCATTTTTTCTAAATGTAGCATTAAATTAATTTTCTCACTTAATATGTAACATATTCATCAATTTTTGGTCCCCCCAATACCAATTTCATATAATAAGCTAAAATTAGTTTTCTGAATTGGAATAATACCCCATCAAAAACAATCAGTTTAAATTAATTTTCTCAATTCTACATTTTTGTATAACTAACAAATAACTATAATTAGCAACCCCTTAATAAATGCTAACAAATTACATTTATAATTTGTAAAATACACAACTTAATTAGCTAAATAACAAAATTAAAAAAGTGGGAAAATTACAAGAAATAAATTAATTAATTAATAAACAAATGAACAAAAATGTACCTTGCTATCAATGGAGATCGGCTCAATATTAACAGAAACAGAATCACTAGAATCTCCCATTTGTTTCTCTCTCTAACTCAAGAATTTTTTTTTTTTAAATTTATATATATTTGGGATTTTCTGTTCGGTGAGAAGGGGTTTTATATAAATGACTAAATTTTATTTTCTCTCTCCTCTGCCAGTGAGTGAGTGCAGTGAGTCACCGACGCTCGAGGAAGA